GGAAAATGAAAATCCACCCTTCTTTTCTGGTCATACCGACTAGTAACCTTGCATTAACTGACATTCAGTCCACTTCCGATGAGGATGATTAAAAGAGTTTCTGTGGTTACATTCCTTTGGTAATATCCATCATATAGGGGCAGTCAGCGTCTTAGCATGGTGGTCCATATTGTTCTGCTTGACCACAAAAGTGGTGACGCTTGGTTACACTTGCCGTCAGCCATATGGCTATTCTGAGGCTGTTCAAGTTTTTCTGGTAGTTGCGGTAAAATTGGGCAAATTGTAATGGTGCATTTTTGAGGACTTTTGATTTTCTCAACACCAACAGTTGGCAAGAGAGCTGCATTGATTCTATCTTATATTCATCTGCTTTTGTGTGTCTAGCTACGTCATCCAGACAGTCAGCGTCAGGCGCATTGCATTCGTCTTCTGGAAGACCTTGAAGCTGCGCATGGTTGGCAGTTTTGTGCCGATAGGCGTCGCCTAAACTCCGGAGCAGAGCAACAAGCCGCTTCGGCCACGGAGGAGGCTTCATCGGCATCAGAACACTTCGCTAAGTCAGAACAGGTCAGTTTCAGCCTGGGCCTCTGGCAGGCCAGCCTGAATAACGGTGATCGCCAACTCCAAATAAGCCTCATGCGTGAAGCACTTCAGTCGCTGGCGCGCAGGTTGAATCAGATACAGGTCGAGCTGGGTGGATGCCGATTTGGCCGAAAACAGGTTCTGACCCAGCGCATCCAGGTAAGACCATCAGAAATGCATACACACATACCACCTCACGGCGAACTGATGGACCGATTGGGAAGCAGCTGACTTTAAGGACACGGCGTAATGTGATAACGCGTCTAATCTGGTCTTATTCCATTTGGCTTGTTCTTCACTTTGTATAGATGACGTAAAGCTGCGTTTCCAAGAGTTCCTCCATAATTTAAAATAAGTAGACCTTTCAGTTTATACCATCGTCATCGTCGCTGTCGTCACTAATAATACTTATAGTAATAAGAATAACATTGAGAATAACTATATAATTAGTGTATTTTGGCGATTGATGACTTCTGACTCTGACGATGTCCGAAACATGTCGGACGTAAGCTTAGTACGGATTCATCGGAGTTGAAGGCTAGTAAATCAAGGTCTTCTTCACTCAATTATACAATCGCAAGTCCAAGGCAATCCTCCTTCTGGATACAGTACGACAAATTTTCTAATCCTTTT